TGTTTTGTTGCAGCAATAGAAACCCTAAGACAGACTCCTTGGACTCCATATTTTTATCCTAGATGAGGAGACCATTTATAGGTCGTGGGCCTGTCTGACCCCAAAAGTATTCAACAAGTATATCTTGCCCTGATAAGTGCCGCATAACAAGCAGCGTACTCTTTCTCTTCCCCTGAAGGCTACACCCTGCCGCCTTTGTGGGATTGCTCTAACAGGACTGCCTTTCTGAGCACCTCAGTCGCGCCACACACACACACACACACACACACACACACACACACGGACACGGACACGGACACGGACACGAACTGCATCAATAGTCAATTCAGCTGATAATGTGAGCTTTATATCAGCTCTGTGCTCGGCCCCTGAAAATCAGTGTCATCTCTATTATAGTTTTCTCTGTTAGGTCCTTTGTCTTTCTGTCTTTGTGCATGTCCCTGCCATCCTTGACTGTTGTATTTCATATGTTCATAGACAGTGGAGGAAATTATCTGTGAGTCGATCGGTACGTTGAATATATATGAAGCATTCACTAAAAGAAAAAAGAGACGTGCCCTGCAAGCAGTGATTGAAGTACACTTTATAATGATAAGGTACACCTAGTGTGTGCCCATGGACTGCCAGGCCCTGCTTTTGATGTGTGTCACCTCAGCTGCCCAACGGCGGTCCCTGATGACCATGCTTCTCCTCTCCTGTCACCACTGTCCTGCCTGGCCTTCAGTGTGATCACCTTAGCGGTGCGTGTGGCCCTGTACAGCAGCAGAGCCCGGTTCTGCAGGAGACCGCGCTTATGAGGCCTCCCGGAAGAAAAGGCACCCCTAGTTTGAAAATCAGACAAAGCGTGTGTATTAGTTACTTTTTCATTGCTGAAAACAAGAATGCCTGACAGAAGAACTTCAGCAAAGGTTTATCATGACTCGTAGTTTGAGGATGCAGTCCCTCATGACGAGGACAGCGCGGTGGCAGGGACCCGAGACATCAGGTCATTAGAAAGAAGCACGGGGCGGTGGCTTGCTCAGCCTCCTTCATCCTTCTGGAGTCTGCAGCTGCAGCCCGTAGAACGGCACCATTCTCATGTACCCCGGCCTTCCCACTCGAGTTAACCCAGCCTAGAAGAGCTCTCACAGACATGCCCAGAGGTTTGCTCTGAGCTGGTCCTAGACCCTGCCACAGCATGGAAGCAAATACTTCTTTAGACTTTCCTTCCCACCTCACCTAACCTGATAGAGAACATCTCCCATGGGGTGCCCAGGGGCTCGCCTCCCAGGTGGTACTAGATCCTGTCAGAGGATGACAGTACAAACTGACAGGGCATGAAGTGAATGAAAATAAATTATTCCTTGTGGCCGAACCTCCCTGAGGAGGTTTAAAGTTTAGCCTGTCCGGGCAGTGGTGGCGCACACCTTTAATCCCAGCACTCTGGAGACAGGTGGATCTCTGAGAGTTCAAGGCCATCCTTGTCTACAGAGCGAGCTCTAGGACAGCTAAGGCTACACAAAGAAACCCTGTCTCGAAGGGAAAAAGAAGTTCTGTCAGGGAGAAGAAAGAGTTCTGGTTGACGGAGGCCCAGTCGTAATCCAGTCTCACTGGCTGTTCCAGACCATTAATTAACTTGTTGGCCTCGGTGTTGGGTGGGCTAAGTGTAGTCACATGAGTGAAACCTCTTGAATGTTGCACTTTGGCACATAAAAGCAAGGCACTGCTTACATCTTCAGTGTTGTGTCTGGTTACTGAATACCTCCCAGATGACTTCTAGGGAGACTGAGTCACCTAGTTAATGAAAGCAGTATCCAGTGTCCTGACTAGGAAAAATGACCCTTGACATTAGAAAACAAGACTTTTGAGCAACTCAAACTTTACCAAATGTTTGAGAAATAATTACTGAATGCCTTTAATAATTGTAAATGTATTATCTGTGTTGGCCATAGATAGGAAACACATAAATATGCGAACATGGAAAAGTAATGTATGGAATTATTATAATAAATTACTGTTATTATTTTTTACCTAGCAGTGTGGTAATGGCAACTCTAGAGTTTAGGTTTGTCAACCATATGCTAGATCTGGCTATTGCCCATCTATAAAATTTTAAATCCATTCTTTGTCCTTTTGCCCCTGGCCGCTTTTGAATTCCAGGAGCAGAGCTTATGAATTTGACACAACCCAAAAGACCGAATATTTATCTTCTGGCTGTTTACAGCGTTTTCCGATTTCTGTTCATAGAACACAAGTGTTGGAGATCCTGGGAGCAGTGTTCCCAAGGAAAGAAGAAACTTGGAATGTCCTACCTACTACCTGGGGCTAAGATTCCGGCCTACTCAGAGTGTGGTCATGCATAAGGGATGTCAGAGAGTGCTGAGGTGACAGACTGCGGCTGATGGGCAGGGAGCCTTCCCAGTGACACTGGGGTGAGGCTGGAGCAGGATTTCCTGACTTCTTGAGGAGTGCCAGAGCAGCCTCCTGGCGGGTGTACGCCCCTGGGTCTTTCCAGAAAGTCCCCTGGCTGCTGTCTTGTGGAGCAAGGTAGAACAAAATATAAAGCCCAAACAAAACAAAACACATGAAAGACTGTAGGGAGACAACCCTTTCTCAGCAGTACCTTCCAGTACCTTCTGCTAGGGCCTCTACTGTGTCTGTGTCTTGAGTCTGAAGGAACCTCAACCCTTCTGTGGAGTCTGGTGGAGCTGATGGCCATTTTGTGAAGGGACAGATGGTAGATGTTCCCATCAGCCTGGAGCCTGGGCAGGTGGTTGTTCATGCTGTGTGTTAGACCCCCTTGTAAGCTGGGGATGGGGTGGGGTTGATGCCGCTCTGAGGGAGTTGTCCATCTTGCCCCCTTGGTAATGGAATTTTAGAAAACTGCGCTCATGTTTGGGTTGTGTTAGGCATATGGAGATGGCTTCTAAGGCGAATGTTATTAATTATGACGTCCGTTCATTTGCCAGCCAGTGTTTATTGACTGGCTGCTAAGTGCAGCACAACAAACAGAAATAGAAGAATAAATTTTTTAAAAGTTGACTTAAAATCATTTGGAGAATTTTTTCCCCTTGTGGCAGTTCTTATTTTAAAAAGAATCACTTTGTGTGAATTGTTTGGAGTCTTACATTTTGTAGGCACTGCCTGAGCTTTGGCCATCCCAGACTAACAACTACCTAGACGTTTATGATACCTAGCTCCAGTGTTATGATTTTGCATATTTTCCAGCCTCTGCTGGTTAAATATACACTTCTTTGGGTTCTGAACTTTTCTTAGAATGTAAAAATATCTTTGTCAAGTCTGCTTGGGTTAAATAATGGAAGTTAAATGTGAGCTTTTACTCACATGTTAGGTCAAGTTGTCTGGTTGCTGCTTGGACAACTCCAGTCTCAGGGCCTAACCACAGTACACTTTCAGTTCTCACTTAAGGCGTATTTCAGTGCCTAGGGGCTCTGCAGGGTGACTCAGCATCCAGATGTTCCAGGTGTGCTCTCTCACAGAGCTCCCTTCTCCCTGCAGGCCACTGCTGGGGCCAAGGTGTAGGTGGCCACATCTCTTCTGCTTACAGATCATTGGCCAGAAAGACAGTCATATAGCCACACCTAGCCAAAGGGAGCCTGGGAAATGTAGTTTAATTGTATTGAAAAGGAACCCAGAGCATCTTCAGTTACAATTCTCATTTAAATGCTGCATATTGGATGTCTTTAGATATTTCCTAAATTGTCACTTCAGTATATATAATGTTCACTGAGACCACGTGTTTTAGATCTTGTATTAATAGTTTAAAAATAATTTTGCAGTAATTTGTTAATGATGGATTTAATTACTTTGTAAAATTTGTAAAATTTTTCATTTATTTATTCTGTGTGTGTGTGTGTGTGTGTGTGTGTGTGTGTGTGTGTGTGTGTGCATGTGTATGTGTATCACATATGTGCTTGCTTACTTGTACCACAACACATGTGTGAAGGTCAGAGAACAGCTTCCAAGAGTTGGTTCTCTCCTTCTACCATGTGGGTTCCGGGGATTGAACTCAGGTCGTCAGGCTTGATATCAGGTGCCTTTACATGCTGAGCCATCTTGCTGGTCCTGGATTCAGTTACTTCTTATAATAGATACATACACATATAAAATTTTAGTGGCTTTGTATAGCACACACACACATGTACACTTAATATGTATATACTTGTGTCTATTTTGACACTCTGTAATATATAGTTACTTGAATATGGATTTCTGCCTGCAGCATAGATGTGCCCCACAAACGTGCTGGCAATGATGGTGCTCAAGAAAAGGGAGTTTTACTAAAAAGGTTGTTGGAAGTAGCTGGAAGTATCTTTCATTTCCCGTGGGCTTTTTACCATTCCCTGGAGTTCACTCCCAGAGGGTGTGAGTAGTTGTTCTTGCCTGCCTGCTTTCAGTCCAGCTCATGTGTTTGTAGGTTCAGGCAATGTGTATGTTGTGAGTATGTAGTATTTCAGGGGATTGGGTGGTGGCCCAGAGGGTCCCACGGAGTGTTGTATGAGTTGGTCCTGTAGGGACATTTAAGGCCTGGGCAGGCTATGGCTGGGTCTCTCAACAGGGCAGTTCTTATGGAACTGTGGTTAGAAATGGCTGGAAATCCCATCAGAATGCAGACCTCTTGTTTGCCTAAATAAGTGAATGAGCATCACTCTGGCTGGGCAGGGTGCCATGAGAAGTGTCTCTTTTCCCTCTGAAAACAAATGTGTTCTCATTCTGTTTCTTTTCAGTAGTGAAGTCAGTGCAGTTATTGTAGAAAAGTTGGGAAATGTCACGGTCTAGATAGATAAAGTCCTTTCTCTTAAGGCACCTTTCTCAAGTAAGCCGTGATGGCTCGTGAGAAGCCATCCTGGGCCCAGGGCCATGAGCCACATGCTGAGTTCAGGCCAGCCTGGAGTTACAGTGTGAAACTCTGTCTCAACAAACAAACAAACAAACAAACAAAAGGGTGTATCTGTTGCTAAGGGTATCTCGGTGACTGTGACTTTCCTTTGGTCTCCTAGGCAAAGCCAAAGCTCATCGAGCCACTTGACTATGAGAATGTCATCGTGCAGAAGAAGACCCAGATCCTGAATGACTGTCTGCGGGAGATGCTCCTCTTCCCTTATGATGACTTCCAGGTGAGTGACCGCTCCACTCTCCACAGAGCCATGTTATTGTAGAAGAGTAGGAAATGTGATGGTATTGATTCGATCGAACACATTTTTCTATATATTGATGTACTGTTTGATTGGTGAACTCATGGTTTTTCAAGAGAGGACCAGAGCCAGTCTTGGTGGTGCAGGCCTCTCTGTTCCTATTTAGCTGGGAACAGAAGGAAGAGGAGGATCCCATGTTCAAGGACTGACTAAGCCACAGAGGGAGTTCAAAGCCAGCCTGGACAATGTAGTGAGATGGGTAGCGCGCTGCCCTAGCGTGTGTGAAGCCTTCTCTTCAGTCCTAGCAGCGTAAGAGGAAGGGGTTGTTAAATAAAAGAGAAAATGAATATGATTGTGTGCCTTATTATGACGTTATATTTTTAGTGGGGTTAATTATTCATGTTAGAAATATATATGTTTATATGTATGTATATGCAAACTTTGGGTTGACCTAGAGGATACAAGTGATTCTTATGTCTTAGAAGATTATTTTAGATTTTGAATCACTTTTTATTTTTGGTTTTTTGAGACAAGGTTTCCTTGTGTAGCTTTGCACTTTTCCTGGAACTCACGGAGATCTGCCTGGCTCTGCCTCCCAAGTGCTGGAATTAAAGGCATGCGCCACCACCGCCCGGCCTTGAATCACTTTAAGAAAAAAAAAAAAAATCAAACCTAGGACCTCCACGTGCTAGGCAAGTGGTCTACCACTGAGGTATATCCCCAAGCCTTGTTTGCTATTTTTTAAAGCAGGTATTCTTAGAATTGTCTGAGGAGCAGCAGAGGTTTGTTACATTCCCTGTGGGATGACACTTTGGACCGTGCCGTGAGGTGTCCTGAACCATGGGTTCCCCAAGAGAACAGTGGTGCTGTGAAGTCCGACTCGGTAGCAGGACGTAGGTGTCATTCCTGGGAGGGAAGCTCCTGCCTCCACTGCTGTCTGGGTGGATGCTTGATGTCTTTTAGCCTCTAGCTAGGTGACAGGCAGGAAGCGATGAGGTCACCGAGGAGCCAAGGGTTAGTCATCCTTCCCTAGTGACCCAGGACCACTGCGGTCTGCTCAGAGGTCTTGTTCCTATTTTGTTCTCCTGGACATTGCCCAACAGTTTCCTGTCCTCTACCTCAGTTTCCTTTACCTGGCTGCTCCTACGTGATGCTGTTACAGTCCAAGCTTTGTCTCCTGCGAACTGAGCTGAAAAACAAACTGTATGTAAATTCTTACATACTTGGAAGAAAATAAAGTCGTTGGTGTTAGAAGCCCCTTCTGGGGCTGGAGAGTGCAGTGGTTAAGGCTGCACTGCCCTTTGTGGTTGTTTTGTTGGTTGTTTTCTCCTGACTTCTCTGTGTAGTCCTGGTTGTTCTGAACCATCTGTCTCTGCAGACCACACTCAGATTTACCTGCTTCTGCCTCCCGAGTGCTGGGATTCACCAGCCCGGTTTTGCTTGGCGCCCTTGCAGAGGATTGGAATTCAGATCCCACCCAGCACCTGTGTTTGAAGGCTCACAGCTGTTTGTAACTCCAGCTCCAGGGCATCTGGCACCCCGGCTTGCGTCCACAGGCAATGCACACACACGTGCAAACTCACATACAGACACATAAAGAAAAAGGACATCTTTTTATAAGTCTTCTCCTTTGTCCTAATCTCACTTTCCAGAATTACCATGTACACTGTTTACTGTGCACACTGTTTTTTGCTTTTTGTTTGTTTTGTTTGTTTGTTTAGAAACTCTCGTGCTAATAGCATTTGTTCAGTTATAACCCTTGATGTTCTCCCAACACCAAATTTAAGAGACTTCAGTTTATATCAGGAGTGAGAATTTCATGAGTGTCTTTTCTTTCCAACTTCTAGAAATGCATATGTCAGCTGGACATGACTGTCTCCTTGGGGGGGGGGCTCTCTGAGGGGCGCAGGATGCAACGGGGTGGAGGTGACTGATTATGTAGTGTTACAGCCACAGGATGCGGCACTTGTGAGTGGAATCCTATCATGGCCCCAAATACCACGCTTTGAAAACGTCCTTTGATGAATAAACCCTGAAACTGAAGGACACACAGGACAGCACTCTAGAATTCTGCCTTTGGCCCAGGATTTGGCACCAAATGAAAAACAAAGTCAGTTGTTTACAGAGTAGACTCCTTGTTGACAATTTTTCCCTGCAGTACTCTCGGGGAAGCCACAGGTTATCTGAAGCTTCTTAGGCCATGGAGTGTACGCTTTTCTTGGTATTAAGGAATAATTTTGTTGTTTAGTCTTACAACCAAGAATGAAAAGTTGTATTTGTAGACATGAAATAAAATTGCTTAAGAAAGAAAACAAATCACCCAACACACAGTTTTTATTTTTTTAGTATCTTAGTATCATCTTCTCTCCCAGCGACAGAGGACCCAGATAGTCAAACATTTGTAGAGTCAAATGATTAAAACTTAAAGGAAATCCATTTATTTCTCGCCCGAAACCATTTCTGTGATATTCTAAGGGACAAAGAGCCTCAGCATCCCTGTTCGGACCAAGAATGAATGAACAAGCATTGGTTTCTGTTTTAGGAAAATCGTTCTAGAGTCGAAGGAGTTTGAATGTCGGCTTCGGCCCGCATCCTGGCAGCAGTGACGGCCACAGCTGACTTTGGACACTCTTTGTTTTCCTACAGACTGCCGCTTTGTCACCAGAGAGACTATTCACACCATCCGTTCTTGCTAGTCTGTCTCAGTGATGGTGCTAACTCTAATTAGTGTAAGTTAATGACTTAGCCATGCCACCAAATCTTGTCTCTGTTTTCTTAGGTGGTAAGGAGCATCACTGACACTGCATTTCTAGAGGCATCGCAAACGTTTGATCAGGGAAAAGCGTCTTTTTTCATACAGAAAGGGGATGATGAGGTCAGGAAATGGGTTGGATGGTAAGCCCAGTGCGTGAGGATGCAGCAGTGTTCTTCACTGGGCAACAGTAGTTAACAGTTAAAAGCAATAGAAGTTGTGTAGGTCTCTGCCAAGCACGCTCAAATGACGATTTCTACAACATACATGTGCACAGTAGTGCTGCCTTTACGTGTTTCCAGGTGGGCATGCCGACAGTGAACCCCTGTGCCTCAGATCTGAGGACATCCCAGTGGCCTCTGGAAAATGAATTGTGTGGGAAAAAGGCTGTCAGGTAGATGTACTTACCCAAGGATGAAGACGTTAAAACAGAAGGCTGAGAAATATGAAATGTATTTTAAAAAATCAAGAATAATTCTTCATGTCAGGTAGTTACAAAGCAAATGAAATGATCTTCCATGGCTAGGAACAGGGGTGTCACAGGGACAGGGGTGTCACAGGGACAGGGGTGTCACAGGGACAGGAATGTTCCTGGAGAGGTTTGTTAAGACTCCAGTGCTGGTGCTTTGGGTCTGTACTGTGTCTGTCTGTCTTGGCTCTGTGGTTCTCCTGGCCATCAGTTTCTCAGGATCCTTTAGAAGCCAGTTGAAATCTCACATCCTCTGAAGCTACTTGAAGTCCATGGTGCCTTTCCCTGACTCTTCCCCTTACTGTGTCTATAAATACTTAGCGCGTTGTACAGCCTGCCATGGGTGCTGCTGTCCCGGTGTGACCACTGTGGGCCTCAGGAGGCTCGGCCAAGTACTACTTTTCTGTGTTTCTGTCCTACCTGCTGTCCTCCTCTCTGTCCGCACAGACGTGTAATCCCTCATATATGGAGCATTGGGATTGGATATATGTTGAAAATGCCTATCAGATCAGTGATTCAATATGGTGAATGCCAGGTAATTTCTTAAGTTAAAAAAACGTAGATAGGTTGGGCATGGTGGTGTTCATCTTTAGTTCTGGGACTTGAGAGACAGAGGCACAGGCAAGTGTCTGTGAGTTCAAGGTCTGCCTGCTCTACATGGCAAGTTCAGGCCAGCTAGGGCTGCATACTTTCTGATGGTTAATGGGTCTTTTTCTTCTTAAAAAGTTGTAGTGTTTTCAAAGTTTATAGTTGGTATAACTTTGAACCTTCCAACAAGCAAAAATCAGAGGAAAATTTTTAACAGGCTGTGAATGACAAACTTTTCTCATCAGAATGTTTTGTATCAAAAAAAATGGCCGGGCGGTGGTGGCACACGCCTTTAATCCCAGCACTCGGGAGGCAGAGGCAGGTGGATCTCTGTGAGTTCGAGGCCAGCCTGGGCTACCAAGTGAGTCCCAGGAAAGGCGCAAAGCTACACAGAGAAACCCTGTCTCGAAACGCCCCCCCCCCAAAAAAAAAAATGATTCATTGCTTGGAAGATGGCAGCCGTTTGCGTAGCTGAAAGTCCTGCTCCTGAGGGACACGGACTCTGGAGGGGGCTGAGTGGACATTGCCAGTTACCCTGCGGTGGTGTTGGAGATGACGTACTTAACCTTGATCAGTCCACTGCGTCACACCTTCAAGTTCTCATCTGGCTCGTTACGTAGGTTACTGGTGTCTGTATCATTTTATATTATCGTGGAGCACAAAAGACAGTAAACATTGAAAAGGGATGTTTGGAGGCAGTTTATGGGCATCAGTCATATTTCATAACAGTTAGACTTAGGTGTCTAGTATAAGCCAGGATAATGTTTGTAGGGGAGAGCGAAGAGAGTGTTTACTCCACTTCTGACTGCATCTCTGAAGACCTGAGCAGAGATGTAAAGAGGAGTGGTCCAAGCTCTTCCATGGCTGTGTGAGTTGCAGGAAAAGGATGTCTGTCCCTGGATGAACAGAAAAAAGCAACAAAACATTCCAGTATTTATTTGTGGTAGGAAAGGAAAGGAGATGCTTATGGGCGGGTACCACCACACCCAGGCACACCACATTCTTTAAAAAGAGTGTTTGGTGATAGGATTTCTAGCTAAATGTGGGTGTAGGTATGTAGTAGTTCTTAGAACTGCATTCGAAGAAGTCAGATGAGGTGTGATACCTCAGGAGAAACCCCCCCCC